GCAGCCACTTCTGTATGTTCTAGGCATCAAGGCGTATGGGGATAAAGCGGGAATATGACATTGAGATAGACAATCAGACATGATTGTTTGGAATGACGGAGCAGCCTTGAAGGGCTGAATGGCTTACTTCAGCTCTTATTTTTTATGTTTCCCTCAATTGTGAAAAGTCAAACGGTCTTGAATATACCTCAATGAGTGAGGATCCACATTGCTCTGAGAATTGCAAAGATTTCTCACTTACTGAGGGAAGAAATATCTCCTTCTCATCTGAAATGGCTGGCTCCTTACCCTGTGACTAGCCCATTGTTCTGGATGTATTATTCACATTATTAGTGGCCCTTATTGAACAAGTGCAGAAAAATAAACTTTGTGTGTCAGAACAGAGCATTCGTATCTCTCTGAACACCATATCAGTATCTCACTTTGAGCAGAGAGAGAGGGTCACTGTTATAGGTAGCACAAACCAAAGACAGCACTGCAGGCAGGGATTCTTCACAAAAAGCCTCTTTCTGCTTTCCCCTCTCTGCCCAAGTCTACAATGCACTCTTACTGTTTTTATTTCCTCCTACCTTGTCTCTTCCTCCTAATTTCTCTGATTTTCGCTTCCTTTTCCTTATTCTCATTGCTTCACTTTCTCTCTTTTCTCGACTTTTCTGTTTCATTCTCTTCAGTTATAGTTTCCTCCTCAAATCCTCCAATTTCTCTCTCTCTCAGTCTCACTCACACACTCCTTTTCTCTCTGTGTGTCTCTTTCTCTGTTCGTGTTGGATGCAGAGCCTCTGGTAAGAATCGTCAACAGTTCCTCTGCGGTATTGAGTGTACTGGCTGGGGATGACGTTGTCCTCTCGTGTGAGCTGTCACGGCCCGAGGCTAGGGTGAGATGGTACAAGGATGGGCTGGAAGTGGAACAGACCAACAGGTCCACAATGGAAATGGACAGATGCCACAGGAGGCTGACCATACGCCCCATTACAGTGGCGGATCGAGGGACATACCTGTGTGACGCATTCGACGACTCGGTCAAGTTTGAAGTGATTGTGTCTGGTGAGTCGAAGTGAAGCTGCACTTGAACAGTTAACATCATTCCCTCTGGGTTGGGCTGGGAGGCACTGCTGTCATTCAGATTTGTAGCAGAAGACACAGAGAACTGCCTTCAGGATCTCAGGGATGGGTTTTCACACAACCAGACGTCATGCCTTGTTGCAGAGGCAAAACCACCTTGGGATAAGAAAAACAGTCATTGCCTGATGTTTGTTGTTAGTTGGAGAAACAGGCAGTTAGCCTTTAATGAGGATAACAGGACAGGATCTCAAGAATAAGGAGCAGAAGGACAGTTGACCCCTCAAGCCTGCCCCCACTTTTAATTAGATCATGGCTGAATGTCTGCCTCTAGCCAACCTTCCTGGCCACCTAGGGCTCTTGTGATGTAGTGGTAGCATCTCAACCTTACCCCTAGAAGACACGGGTTCTAATCCCAATTGATATATGACAAACACATCTATGCAGGTTGATTGAAATTGTCATTTCACTGGTAGTGGGTCAGAGCTTTGCATGTTTCATTTTTTAGAATGAGATAGATACATTTAGTATGTAGACCAGCACAGGAACCATTCCTTTGGTCCATGATGTTGTCCCAAACAAGATGCCAAATTAACCGAATCCCTTTTGCCTGCCCTTGGTCCATTATCCCTCTATTCCTTGCTCATTCATTGTCTTATCTAAAAGCATTGAAACGCTCTTATGGTAACTGCCGCCACCAGTACCCATGGCAGAGTGTTCCAGGATTCAATCACTATCTGTGTAAAAAACTTGCCCCTCAAATCTCCTTTGATCTTTCCCCCACTTACTTTAAATACATGACCTCTCATATTCGATATTTCAACTCTTGGAAGGAGATTCTGACCATCAACCCTATCTATACCTCTCATAATTTTATAAACTTCCATCAGGTCTCCCTCAGCCTGCACTGCTCTGGAGAAAACAATGCTAGTTTCTCCAGCCTCTCCTGATAGCTCATATCCTCTAATCCGGGCAGCATCCACTTCTAGGAATGCATTGCCGGAGAGGGTAGTGGAGTCAGCCTCATTAGGGGCATTTAAGCAGCTATTAGATAGGCATATGGATGCTAGTATAAGGTAGGGGTGGAGGTTAAATAGACCTTAAGATTAGGGTAAAAGTTTGGCACAACATCGTGGGCCGAAGGGCCTGTACTCTGCTGTACTGTTCTATGTTCTAGTCATTGAAAGGGTATGGGGAGAAAGCAGGAATATGGCATTGAGGTAGAGGATCAGCCATAATTGTATGGAATGACAGAGCAGCCTTGAAGAGCTGAATGACTTACTTCAGCTCTTAGATTTTCTCTCCTGTCAGATGCAACGATTCAAACAGTCTTTCAATTCTGGTCTTGAATATACCTCTGTGAGTGAGGATCTACGTTCTTGTGGTGCAGAGAATCGCAAAGATTTGTCATCTCCTGAGGGAAGAAATGTCTCCTCATCGTCTGAAATGTCTCCTTATCCTGATACTAGCCCATTGTTCTGGATGTATTTTTCACATTATCATGGCCTGAATGGAACAAGATCCTCTGATGCTGGCTGGCCTGCTGTGTTCCTCCAGCTCCACACTGTGTTATCTCTGACTGCAGCATTGGCAGTCCTTACTATCTTTAAAAAACTTTGTGTGTCAGAATAAGCGCTTTCTTGTTCAGCTGAGCACCATATCAGCATCTCACCTTGAGCAGAGTGACAGGGTCACTACTTGTGTAACTGAAACCACAGAGAGCTTTGAGGACAGGAATTCTTCACAACAAGCCTCTTTCTGCTTTTCCCTACTCTGCCCAAGTCTCCAACGCACTCTCGCTGTTTTTGTTTCCTCCTTCCTTGTCTCTTCCTCCCATCTCTCTAATTTTCTCTTCCTTTCCCTCATTCTCATTGTTTCACTTTCTCTCCATTTTTCACTTTCCTATTTCACTGTCTACATTCATATCTTTCTCCCTCAAATCCTCTAATTTCTCTCTCTTTCTCTCTCTCTCTCAGTCACTCATATACTCTTTCTCTCTCTGTTTCTTTCCCTGTTTGTGATGGATCTAGAGCCTCCAGTAAGAATCGTCAACAGTTCCTCTGCAGAATTGAGTGTACTGACTGGGGGTGAGGTTGTGCTCCGGTGTGAACTGTCACGGCCCGAGGCGAAGGTGAGATGGTACAAGGACGGGGTGGAGGTGGAACGGACCACGAGGTCCACAATGGAAGTGGATGGAGGTCATAGGAGACTGACCATATGCCCCATTACAATGGGGGATCGAGGGACGTACCTGTGTGACGCATTCGATGACTCGGCCAAATTTGAAGTGGCTGTGTCCAGTGAGTCCTAAGTCAAGCTGCACTTGAACAATTAACATCATTCCCTCTGGGTTGTGACGTGGGGCACTGCTGTCATTTAGATTTATAACAGGAGTCACAGAGCTGCCTTCGGGATCTCAGGGATGGGTTTTCACACAACCAGATGTAATGCCCTGTTGCAGAGGCAAAACCACCTTGGAATTGAGAAAATCAGTCATTGGCTGATGTTTGTTGTGAGTTGGGGAAACAGGCAGTTAGCCTTTCATTCAGATAACAGGGTAAGATCTCAAGAATAAGGAGCAGGATTAGGACATTTGACCCCTTGAGCCTGTCCCGACTTTCAATTAAATCATGGCTGAACCTCTACCTCTAGCCAAGCTTCCTGCCCACTTAGGGCTTGTGTGGTGCAGGGGTAACATCTCTATGTCAGACCTAGAAAATCCAGGTTCTAATCCTCATTGAGCTATGTCATAATGCATCTATTCAGGTTGATTGGTATTGTCAATTGAATGGTAATGGGTCAGAGCCTTGTGTGTTTCATTTTTAAGAATTAAATAGTGTTACAAAGTTTGGTAGAGTAATTGTGAAGTGGAAGGCAGGAATCTAAAATGTGTGGTTCCTTTAAGAGATTTGTGCCTTGTCTGTACTTAAAAATTAAAAAAAAATGTATGTCTGTGAGCAGCAACTGAAGTTGCCAGTACAGAGAGCCTCAACAAATGAAACAAGTGTATCAAAAATACCCTACAGGTGGTAGGCAAAGCAGCAGTCTTGTTTTGATATTGTGACAGCAAGTTTGAATTCGGCAAATTAATTTAAAACCAAACTTAGCGATTCAGAGCCAGTTGAATTTAAATCTGATGGTGTTGACAACTTGAAATCAATCATATTATAAAAATTTGATTATGTCATTATGGGCATATAAGATGAGGGCATTTGGAAAATCAGAAAGAGCCAACTGCCATCTGAAAGAGAACCATTTGCCACCTGCCAGACTTAGCACGATTCAGCTCTCAGAGAAAGCCCATATAATTAATTAAAGGTACCACCGTCTTTTAACTCAAAGTCCTCATTGAAGAAATTATAGAAATAAAACATCCTTGACAGCAGAATTAGCAGAGGAAAGACTTCTGTGAAGAGACCGAAGATGACAGAATATTCCAGAAGACAGTCTGTGCGAATTTGGAGAGATTAAGTTATAATTTATTGCTTCGTATTAATTGGGTTATATAAGTGGGGCTTGTCTTTATTTATACAGCATTTCGTAGAACTTAAACCAGTTAGGGAGTAGTTAGTAGACTTAAGGGGGAATTGTCGGTTTGTTACTAATTTTGTTAACTTGGCCATTGTTTGGTTAAGTAAATAAATTGTTTCTCGTTACTTGTAAAGTGGAGATCAGGGATTTTCTTTCTTATAACCACTCTTTTATCAGATTAAGAGGGGAAAGACAAGCTTCTCTAAGTGCTTTGAGGGTAACTATTAGAGAGGAACCCCTATTCCTGTCATAACGGATTGGGGCTTGTGTTTAAGAGGGATTTGGCCATTCCCCATTGTAACAATACTTACATTTTGAATATAGAACAGTATAGCAGCTTCTCCCTCCCTGAAATCCTTGAATTTCTATCTCTCTCACACCTTCTCTCTCACTCTTTGTGATGGATCCAGAGCCTCCAATAAGAATCGTCAACAGTTCCTCGCCAGTTTTGAGTGTACTAACGGGGGGTAAGGTTGTCCTCTCGTGTGAGCTCTCACAGCCCAGTGCTGATGTGAGGTGGTACAAGGATGGAGTGGAGGTGGAGCAGAGTGAGAGGTCCACAGTGGAGGTGGACGGAGGACGCAGGAGGCTGACCATCCGCCAGGCCAGATTGGGGGACTGTGGGACATACCTATGCGATGCAGTTGATGACTCAGCCAAGTTTGAAGTCACTGTGTCCGGTAAGTCCCATGCACATCCGTGCACAATTGTTTTTCTCCCGCGTCGCCCAGCGTCACTGTGGATAGTTTTAACGTCCACCTGTTCTTCAGCTGACTTGTGCAGTTTGGTCTAGCTCAACAGTGATTGCGTTTCACTTGGACTGGCAAGAGACCAAGCTGCAGTGACTGCTTACAAAGAAAATATTTGCATTAGTATAGCACCGTCCACCACTTCTAGATGTTTCAAATCAATTTACAGCCAATGAAATATTGTTGATGTGCAGTTTTTTTTAAATTCATTCATGGGATATGGGCATTGCTGGATAGGCAGCATTATTGCCCAGAGGGCAGTTCAGAGTCAACCACATTGCTGAGAGTCTGGAATCACATGTAGGCCAGACAAGGTAAGAATGGCAGTTTCCTTCCCTAAAATACATTAGTGAATCAGATGGGTTTTTCCTGACAATCGACAATGGATTCATGGTAATTGTTAGCCACTTAATTCCAGATTTCTTTTATTCAAATTCCTCCATCTGCTGCGGCAGAATTCAAACCTGGGTCTCCAGAACATTACCTGAGTCTCTGGATTAACAACCAAGCAACAATACCATTAGGCCATTGCCTCCCCTAATATTTTAATGTAAGAAACATACCAGCCACTATGTGCACAGCGACATAAAATAACATGATAACTAGATAGATAATCTTTCTTTGCCGTGTTCCCTGTTTGATAAATGTTAGCCTCAGGAAGCCAGGGTTTAATCTCCTACTCTTATAATTAGTGGCCTTACAACTTTCACATTTCCAACCCCGTTCCTACCCACCTGGAAAGAGTTGATGGGGTCTCAGTTTAACATCACGTGAAGGATGCTAAAGTGTATCACCTCCTCAGTGCCTTACTGTCAGCCTGAGGCTGCTGTGATAAAGGACTGGGTGCTGTCTTGCCTTGTCAATGTCAGCAAGATCAGTGGTAGATATGCCAATTATTCATCACCTACGCCAGTTTCACATCACTTACTGTTCCCCAATTCACCCTGTTACCAGCCCAACTTGACACCTGATATTTCTCAGTGCTTGGTTAATATTGAAGATCTTTACCCTTGCTGCCCTCTCCTCAATGTGCTGGGTTATGATTCTACTCGCGAACTCTTTTACCACTTCTCACTGATGGCCATTGCATTTCCTTGCAGCCTTCAGTGGTGACCAGGCATGGCACCTCCCAGCTGTCGTTGGCAACTTCTGTCCCACCTCCAGTCCTGACCTAAAGCTTGCAGCTTGACCCCTGCCGCTAACACAACGGGTCCTGCCTCTGTGCTAGGATAGGAAGAGACTGGTTGATTTAGTGGGAGGCAGTGACAAGTTGGCAATGTCACTGGTCTGGTAAACCAGAGCCCCGAATGTTCTGGGGCTGTGTTTCAATTCGTGCTATGACAGATGGTGAAGTTTAAATTTAATTAATAAAAAGGACTAAAAAATCCATAGTGACAGCTATCAGCTGAACTGTCAGTTCACTAATGTCCTTTAGGAAAGAAAATCTGCTGCCTACATGTGACTCTAGTCCCTTAACAATGTGGCTGACTCTTAACTGCACTCTGGAATGGGGGGAAAAACACTCAATTCAAGGGGTAATTTGGGAAGGCCAATGACACCCACATCTGTGAATGAATGTAAAAGTAATTCTCAGGTCCAGTTTTAATAAGTCATTTGCTCAGAGTCCTAAACACTGTGGAGCCACACTTGGCCCTGTTGCAAATATGGAAGCCAAACAATGCCAGGTTATAGTCCAACAGGTTTATTTAAAATCACAAGCTTTCAGAGCACTGCTCCTTCGTCAGGTGAAGTGAAGAGAAGTGCACAGGCACAGAATTTATAGGCAGAAATCAAAAGATCATGTGAATGGTGTGATTGAAGTGTCAACAGCTGAATAGCAGGTGAAGGGATGACCTATATCCGATTAATTGAGGCAAAGAGATAATTACAAAAACTTATAAAATAAGGTGGTGCTGGACACAAACCAAATGGCTGGAATACATAGAACATGAACATAGAACAGTACAGGACAGTACAGGCCCTTCGGCCCATGATGTTGTGTCGACCTATTATCCTACTAAGATCAAGCTACCCTGCATACCCTACATTTTACTATCCTCCATGTGCCTATCCAAGAGTCGCTTAAAAGTCTCTAAAGTATCTGACTCCACTACCACTGCCGGCAGCACATTCCACATACCCACCATACTCTGTGTGAAGAAGTTACCTCTGACGACTCCCCTATACCTTCCTCCAATCACCTTAAAACTATGCCCCCTTGTAACAGTCATTTCCGCCCTGGGAAAAAGTCTCTGACTATCCACTCTACCTATGCCTCTCATCATCTTGTACACCTCTATCAAGTCACCTCTCATCCTTCTTCATTCCAGTGAAAAAAGCCCTAGCTCCCTCAACCTTTCCTCATAAGACCTGCCCTCTAGTCCAGGCAGCATCCTGGTAAATCTCCTGTGCGCCCTCTCTAAAGCTTCCACAACTTTCCTGTAATGAGGTGACCAGAACTGAACACAGTATTCCAAGTGTGGTCTAAACAGAGTTTTATTCAGCTGCAACATAACCTCACGGCTCTTAAACTCAATTACCCTGCCAATGAAAACCAACACACCATCCCCCTTCTTTACAACTCTACCAACTTGGGTAGCAACTTTGAGGGAACTATGGACGTGGGCCCCAAGATCCCTCTGTTCCTCCACACTGCTGAGAATCCTGCTATTAACCCTGTATTCTGCATTCAAATTCAACCTTCCAAAATGAATCACTTCACACTTTTCTGGGTTGAATTTCTTTGCCCAGCTCTGTATCCTGTCAATGTCCTGTTGCAACCTACAACAGCCCTCCATGCTGTCCACAACTCCACCAACCTTCGTGTCATCGGCAAACTTAATAACCCACCCTTCCACTTCCTCATCTGAGTCATTTATAAAGATCACAATGATAACATGATATCACTCGGTGTTCAGCTGTTGACACTTTACTCACATGGTCTGACACTTTTGATCACCTGCAGAAACTTATTATTCAGCCTCTCGACACTCCACTCAGACCATTTGTATGATCTTTTCGTCTCTCTGCCTATAAATTCTGTGCCTGTGTGTCTCTGAAGGAGCAGTGCTCCTAAAGATTTCAAATAAACCTGTTGGACTATAACCTGGTGTCATGTGACTTCTGACCTTGTCCATCCCAGTCCAACATTTGCCATGATGTGGAGGTGCCAATATGGAAGTGCAAGATTAAATCCCAGACTGCTTGGTTGGGTAATACACCAACAGTTTTGCAAGCATACTGATGGCTGGATGTAACTGCACTCCTGTGTAGCTTAAACTACTGTGTCAAGTCCAGTTCATCCTATCTCAGTAGCATCGCCTGCTCTGCCCAACCCTACTGATCTGCCACTGAAAACCCTCAACAGTACCATTAACCTCTTCTTCCCTGGCTATTCCTAAGACTGTCCGGCTGGCCACCCTCCATTCCCTGGAAACCTCAAGTTGTCCAAATCTACACTCCCTTTAGTGTCCCTACAGTGCAGAAAGAGGTCATTCGGCCTGTTGAGCCTTTGGAACTCTCCGAAGAGCATCCCATCGAGTTCCTGTAATTCTGCATTAACCAAAGTTAATCCACTTAGCCTGCACATCCCTGGACATTACAGACAATTTAACATGGCTAATCCAACTAAAATACACATCTTTGGATTGTGGGAGGAAACCCACACAGGGACAGGCAGGACATGCAAACTCCACACAGACATCACTCAAAACTGGAATCAAACCTGGGTCCCTGGCACTGTGAGTCAGCAGTGCTGCTAACCATTGAACCAGTGTGCCGTCCAGGTGCACCCCACTACCTGCAGATCACTATAGTTTTCAAATTCTCCAATTTTTCAAACCACCCTCAAATCCCCTCATCCCTGAGATGTCTTTTGGACGCATAATCCACTGAGATCTTTGCAATCTCCCAATTCCTGCTTTTCTGACATCCCCTGATTTCCACCACTTCACCAGCTCGTGTTTCCGGTATCCTGGGCCAGAGAGCTCTGGGACTCCCCTCTGATGTTTGTGCGAATCCGCTTGCCTCTGCTGCTTTCAGACATTCCTCAAAACTCCACTTTGACCAGCTGTTTGATTGAGCATGACTAAATCCAAATGGAAATACAGGAAAAACTTCTTCCTCCAGAGCACGGTGAGAATGTACTTACTGTCATGGGGAATGAACACAATGAAGAGCGAAGATACATTTAACAGAAAACTTCAAGGGAAAAAGGAGCAAGGGCAGTGAAGAAAGGCTGAGAGGAGAAAGGATAGAACAAGCTTCTTCTAGTGAAGAATTACCATCTCAGTCCAGATGGGCTGAATGGTCTTTTTTTGTTGTAAAACTATGGAATTAGATCATGGAGTCATTGACATACATATAGCAAGGAAACAGACCTTTCGGTCCAACTCATCCATGCCGACCAGACATCCTAAATAAATTTAGTCCCATTTGCCAGCATTTGGCCGCGATACCTCTAAACCCTTACTACCCATCCAGATGCCTTTTAAGTGGTGTAATTGTACCAACCTCCACCATTTCCGCTGGCAGCTCATTCCATACACACACCACCCTCTGCATGAAAAAGTTGCGCTTTAGGTCCCTTTTAACTCTTACTCCTCTCACCTTAAACTATGCCCTCTAGATTTGGACTCCACCACCTTGGGCAAAAGACTTTAGTTATTCACCCTACTCTATGCCCCTCAGGATTTTATAAATCTCTATAAGGTTACCCTTCAGCCTCCGACACTCCAGGGAAAATAGCCCCAGTCTATTCACCCTCTTCCTGTAGCTCAAACCCTCCAACCCTGGCAACATCCTTGTAAATCTTTTCTGAACCTTTTCAAGTTTCATAACATCTTTCCTATAGCAGGGAGAGCAGAATTGCAAGCAGTATTCCATAGTAGCCTAACCAGTGTCCTGTACAGCCACAACATGACCTCCCAACT